CCGGTGCTCATTAGGTAAGAGGCTGGGTGGGCCCCAGTGTAGGTCCGGACGCTGTGGAGAAGAGAAAAACCTTATCCTACCGGGAGTCGAACCCGAGCTTTTCAGCTTGTAGCCCGACGTTATACTGAAAGCTATCGTAAAAAGATGTCTATTTCATTAATTTAATCCTTAGAACAGTTGTATCTTCTTGGATATAAGTCTTCATAAGCACTGCTATGAGGCTCTCAGATCCTACGTATTAAATCTAGTTTAAAATCTGGATTAATCCATGCACATAAACCGAAGGAGGTGCGATTTGTGCAAATGTAGAAAACGTGTAGGGAATGAGAAATGCACGTAACATTTTAATTGGAAGACCCGATAAAAGTAGAATAATTTGGACACCTAAGCCTGGATGAGAGGATGGTACTAAATAGATCTTAAAAATACAGGGATTTGTGGCAAGATATTGACTGAATTCGTGTACTGGAGAGATTCCAACGGCGAGCTCTCTAAATACAGTAGTCAGCCTACGGGTTCCATAAATTTCTGTCAATTTCTTTATAATATCAGCTTTTATCAGACCGTCTATAAAGATTACCGATGCATACCACGAAGTTAATTATAAAACATGTAAAATTGTAGCTGCTCGTTGGAAGAGAATGACTGTATTTTGTAATCAGTAAAAAGAGATCATCGTCATGATAATCTACCTCAGGACAGGGTTTCATTACCATGTTCCGTCTCAAAGACTGTCCTCCCAAGAAAATGAGATATGTCCATGCATATACAATTTCAGTCGGAAAACTTGAAGGTACCCATGGAGACGTAGGATTAAATGGGAAGATAATATTAAAAGAAACTTAGAGAATTTGGATCTGATGACTTTTGACTATATTCATCTGGCTCCGGAGAGGAACAAGTGGTGAGCTTTTATAAGGAAGATAATGAACCTTCAGATTTTATCAAAAAGCAGGTAATTTCTTGAGCAACTGAGCAACTATTAAGTTCTCTCTGGAGTTAGTTACGTGACTGGAATATTTAGTGTGTAACGTGTGACACAAGGCAGGACTGGTGCAAGATGCATTCCAGTAAAAATATAGCTTTTTAGGCTTGAACAATTCAGTATTTATAACAAAACAAAAGGTTTCCTGTAATTAGTTCTTTACTTAGTTCGTTGGGTCGCCACTTCCGTACTATGATGAAAAAAATAAATAAAGAATTATTCATATCATACTAATATTCTCCCATAAATCACACTGTGAGAGAAGAATACTTTAATTGGTAAGCAAAACAACACTCACAGCCTCAAGTACCAGATAACTGTATAGGCCGCCATTTATAGCATTAGACCCTATTATAGAAAGCAGCTGTTCTATGCGTACTGCTAACGTCACTTTACAAGGATAATAACGTAACTAATCTGTCCATTAAGTAACAATTTATAGTGATGGAAACTCCTTACACGTAAGACATTGCTGTCTGACAACGTCTCACTTCGAAGAATCAGACAAACGTTATGATAGTGATTTGAAGATGTTATTGTCTGCCATCATCTCTAGCCGTGTTCACTGCAAAATAAAATATATAAACAATATTTCTTCTGGACACTTCGAAAGTAAAGTGGTAAGACGCTCAGGTAAAATGATATTGCACTCTTTTGCCATGATGAAAGGTAAAATTGTCCCTATGCTTAACTAATTAAGCACTATGCCATGAAGGCGTATGGGGGAGTGGATGTATAGATCCATATTTTCCTTACATTGTCACTAGTCGGAGGTGAGTGGTCAGCTTCACGCCCCGGCCGCTTTATTCCCGGGGAAAGAGCTCCCAGTACCCATTATATAGGAGGTTGGGTGGACCACAACCGATCTGGATGATTGGAGAAGTGAAATTGCTTGACCCTACTGGGACTCGAAGTCCAAACCCTCGGTCGTCCAGCACATATCCAGTCACTATACCGACTACGCTACGCGGTGATCAAAGATTAAAATGGAAAAAAGTATTTATTCGCTTGCTCTTTTCATTGAAGTGAAAACGTGTTTCTCATCCTAAGAAAAGGCCATAGATTGAAGGTATTTGGTAACAAAGTGATGACGGGAATATCTTAACTTAAGAGGAAGAATGTAACAGTAGGACTGAGAAAATTACATATTCGGGAGTTTCGTTAACTGTAATCTTCACCGAATATTGTTGGGATGATTAAATAGTGATAGGCGAGATTAGAAAGACACAGGATACATGGGGAAATGAGAAATGCAAACAGAATTCAAATCAATTACCATGAAGGAGTTCACTTCGGAGTCCTAAGCGTAGATGGGAGGATAAGCGTGAATGGTTTCTTCAGGAAATAGGTTCTGACGTTTGGGTCCACATTCATCTGACAGTGATGCAGTCAAATGGTTGGCCCTTGCAAAGACGAGTTCCATAATAGGCGGGAAATCTCTTAACCACGTGATCAACTACTATCTCCTCAAGATGGATTCTAGCCGATGGAATTATTTCACATTCTTACATGAAAGTAAATACAGCTTAAGTCTAATGCAAGGCAAGGGATGTTATACTTTCAAGGATCTTACACTGTTATCACAAAATTCCTTTATGCTAAGTAATGAGTTGTTATCCGTGACTATTCTACTCTCCGGTGTTCTCTTACTCCTCCTTTAAATTATTTAGTAATGTTTACATAAAATCTTTACAGATTTTGTCATTATTAAACTTGTCCTCACAATGTCACAGTAGAATGGTTTCTAGCATACAGAGTAGTCCGCTTCAAGTTATGTCCATAACCAGGTTCTCCTCCGGCAATTCCGAATGCGCTTCAGAGACATATCGGAGCAGGTCAAGTCAGTACTGTAACCTACAAATTGTTTTGGAGATGTCAGTTTCCACTCACGGCTGGAGTAGATATCAAGCGGCTTCTCTTCTCATTCATTTCAGAGGAATTTCCAGATACCTCCTTAAAATTTAACCGAACAATTCTTTATCCCTTCTTCATCAATTAGTCTTTAATATTACACGTACTTTTCATTTTTGAAAACATGCTTAAAAACATAAATTAAAAATCAGTCAGTGGAAAAATTTGCGAATGATGTTGGGTGAGGTGTGTAGAATAATAAATCAACGTCAAGCACTTTAATCATTGTTGTGTCTTTAGAATAAAACATCAAGTGTCACACCAAGGACAAAGAGGTTTATATCTCTATGCCTACAACTTTATCGTCACATAAGAGTATATGGATAAGTGACTGGAAGGTGGAAGAGTCTTAACTGAATTGTATCAAATATTCCTCGAATTTCATCTGCCACGTATTTATTTTTTAATATTCTTCTCATTTTATGCATGTATCGTTCCCCACTTCATCCTACGTGGTCTCCTTTGCTTAGTGAAATTTGCGGAAATTTTTTATACATTTGTTATTTCGATCATGTATACTTGTTATATGTCGCTCCCAGATATATTCTCAGTGATTAAATCACATTGTCAATGAATGGCCTTTAATTAAAAAGGATGTGACCATGTGATGTTCAGTAGTTACCCCCAAATCTCGAACAAATTACAAAGATTCCCGTTCTGCATCCTCCATCTTGTTACTTCTTGCTATGTGCTCAAACACCAATATCTATGCTATTAAACTACAGCAAGACACTAAACCTTGTATGTAGAATAATATGCATATACAGACCTACACGGACGAGCGCTCGCCCGCGGGTGTGCGTGTGTAAAATGTGTTGCTTTTCTTTAACCAGATTTTGGTGTAAAGGCCTTTTATTGCTAGTCCGGCAAATTTCATCATCAGAGATTCACACAGGCTATGAATTGTATTATGTCCAGCCTTGCTCTGACAACAGCCAAGCCTATATAGTGCAGACGTTAATAAAGGTAATGTGCGAAAGTGAAATGGCTTACAGAAATAACGGGAGAATTCTGAGAGAAACCGTTTAGTTTAGCTGTGACCAGCACAAAGACCTCATTGAGCAGCCAACTTTTGATTATTTTTGCCTTTGTTGAGAAAGAAGTGTGTTAGTCATAAAACCTAAAGGATTCCATGAGAATTGTAGTTAAGAATAGCAAAATTCCACAAAAAATTATGAATCTTCTTTCTTCTTTGATAAATAATACAGACTAATAAGGGGAATGAAGGCCGATATATAAACACAGCCACAGTTACGCTGAAATTTTTCTCGAGCGATCAGTCGTGTCAAAATTGAGTTAAAACATTTCAGAGATTCGCCCCTTCTCCATCATCAGGGTCAGTGAGGAGAGAGATCTCAGAAACATTGGTTCTTAATTGAACACTGACACGACGGATCGCCCAAGAAGGTTTCAGCATACCGTATTTACGCATGTATAGGCCGCGTGCGTGTATAGGCCACAGCACAATTTTCAGACAGAAATTATAGAAAAAATAATTTTCTTGGAATATTATTTCAGGAGTAGAAATTATTCCGAAATTTCGCAACGTTTAATTTTTTTAAAATGAAGTGTGATTTCGAATATTTCGAATATAAGCCGCACCCCAGTTTTCCTCTTGAATTTTTGGCAAAAAATGTGCGGCCTATACATGCGTAAATACGGTATTTATTCCCCCTGATATGTTCATATATTACAAGAAGACAGTTGCATATATGAACGAAATAAAAAATATATATATAAAGAAGGAGTTTTTTAAAAATTACAATACTTTTATTATTATTATTATTATTATTATTATTATTATTATTATTATTATTATTATTGATTCTAACTGCAAATCGGTTTTAACCCGGTGGCAGTGGTCTACGACAAGACACAACATACAAATACCTATACATCTCACAAACAAATAACACAAACACTCAAAATAACACAAAATGATACTAATAATGGTTTTAAAATGGAAACAGTTGTAAAGAATTGGCAGGAAATCTACGCGACACAATGCTGATTCCTATCTGTACAAGGGAATCTGCTGTTCACCGCGTCTCATACCGTCGCACTAGTGTGAATTCACCCTGACTCATCTCTTTCTCTCTGCTAGAAGGTCTTCCTTACTGGTACAGGGGTATCATGTGCACCTCATGCTGCAATGGGATCGTGTATACCGACTCGTGTTGTCAAGTCAATCCCAATACAGCACGACCAAATGATGACTGTTGCCGGCTGGTAACGGGGGAAAAAATTCGCAAGGCCTGCCTGTGTAAATGTGGAAAGGAACTGTTGAACGAACCGTATAAAAGAGATGACTCCCATACCGGCAACCATTCTCACACGTGAACTCAAGAAGTCATATGCTTCTTGGGTGTCCCAGAGATTCCCATCGTTTGAATTTCACTACTGCGATGAGTAAGGTAAGTGATCATTTACACATGTATGGGATAAATCACACGCGTTACTCTATACCAAATGTAGGAAAACGGACAGAGCCTCTCTTCTTTCTTAGTTGCTTTCATAAAGAAGATCACTTTCGTATTTTAATGTAAATTTCTTGGCTCGTAATTCTGAGGCACGTATGTAGTTACAGAAAATACATGGAAACGGACATGGGTGAATATAAGAGAAAAGGATTACTTTAAATCTCAACCTTGAATACCGAGGTTATCATACTTTTTAATTACAGTCTGTTCTTATTTTGGTGACGACTTTCTCATAAAGTCATTCAAGAATAAATGAGCTGGATGGATATTTCAGGATTTTTTCATAAATATTAATAAATGAAAGATATTTTTCACTGTACTTGTTACAGAAATTAGAGCTTTTCTAACATGCAGGGCATAAAATCAAAAGATAAATGTAAAACGCCCCCTAGCAACGCTACAATTGCAAGTCGGTTGAAACAAAGCGGTCAGAGGAGATACTGGCCCTCTTGATGGAGTGACCTCACCCTTCCGGACACAGTTAGTGGATATGCAGACCTGCGTTGCGTAGAGCATGTAGACAGACTCACAGTCCGACGCCTAGTGACTGTTTACCGCTAATCTCTGTTATGCGACCGCGGGAAGGGAGTTGTGGTATGAAGCATTCGAACAAGTTAGTGTTGTTCCGTAGTATGGTCGCAGAGAACCGTGTAACTATAGCGCTGTCAGGAAGCATATCCTACCACAGTTCATTCATTCCTTCATCAATGGCTCTACAGCCCTATGTTGGGCCCTGGCTTGCTCTTCAGTCTCGTAATCTTTTTACACAGACGGTAGGACCTCTGTGTCCCTACACACAGGACAACACAAACACAGAATAAACACACACGTAAACATCCATGCCTTGAGTGGGATTCGAACCCACGATCCCAGCGTTCGAGCGAGCGATGTTAGTTCATGCCTTAGACTGCGCGACCACTGTGATCGGCCAATACGATGCCATAGTCTAACATAATTCTAGAAGATAGTATATCTAAGGCCGCGCCATAGCTCAAGCGGTTAGTCGCTGGCTTCCCACCTCGGCTGCCCGGGAATTGGTCCACAATCACCCTCACCTATCATCTGGGGCTGGTACAATAGGCCAGAAGTGGCCTCAGTACAAGGGACTCAGTCCTACCCCACTAGCAATAAAAAAATAATAGTATATCTAAACAGACAAAAAGATCGTAGGAACCAGTCACTCTGCCTTTCTAAAACCGTGATGACATTCTTCTTCGTCCCTCACAGTACAAGAAACAGTATTCCGTTTATTCTCATTTCAGGTCTTAATTCTCCTAGCATTGGCAGCTATTGTCGTGGCTCGCCCAGAACCTCCCGTGGGTAATCAATACCTTCCTCCGTCTGGTGGTGGCTATCACGGTGCACAGGGGGCCGGTGGTACACCATCTAACACTTACGGAACGCCCAGTTCCTTCGGAGGCGCAGGCGGCACACCGTCCGGCACTTACGGAGCTCCGCGAGGCGGTTCCGGCCGTAATGGAGGAGGCGGTAGCCCGTCGAGTACGTATGGAGCTCCGGGAGGTTCTACGAATGGATTTGGAGGTAATCAAAATGGGTTCGGTCGTGGCAGCGGTGGTGCTCCTTCCAGCACATACGGGGCTCCTGGCGGAGGCCAAAACGGCTTCGGTAGCAACGGATTTGGTGGAAGCGTAGGAGGTTCACCTTCCGCCATTTATGGAGCTCCAAGTGGATCTCAAAGTGGATCTGGACGCAATGGCGGAGGCAGGACACCTTCAAGTACTTACGGTGCTCCTGGTGGCGGACAGAACAGTTTTGGTGGCGGATCACGTGGAGGTGGATCTCAAACTGGATTCGGGCGTAACGGAGGAGCTAGAACACCTTCCAGTAGTTACGGAGCTCCAGGCGGAAATCAAAATGGTTTCGGACGTGGATCTCATGGAGGTGGTGCTCTGTCCAGTACTTACGGAGCTCCAGGTGGAGCTCAGAATGGATTCGGTCGTAACGGAGGGGGTAGGTCACCTTCCGACACTTATGGAGCTCCTGGCGGCGGTCAGAGTGGATTTGATGGAGGTCTTGGTGGTGGTCAGAGTAGTTTCGGCAGATCTCCTTCAAGTACTTATGGAGCTCCTGGTGGCGGTCAGGGCGGTTTTGGTGGATCTCCTTCAAGCACTTACGGAGCTCCTGGCGGTGGACAGAGGGGTTTCGGTGGAGCTCCTGGTGGCGGTCAGGGCGGTTTTGGTGGATCTCCTTCAAGTACTTATGGAGCTCCTGGCGGTGGACAGAGAGGTTTCAGTGGAGCTCCTGGTGGCGGTCAGAGCGGTTTTGGTGGATCTCCTTCAAGCACTTACGGAGCTCCTGGCAGCGGACAGAGTGGTTTCGGTAGAGCTTCTGCTGGCGGTCAAAGCGGTTTCGGTGGATCTCCTTCTACTTCTTACGGAGCTCCCGGCGGTGGACAGAGAGGTTTCGGACAGAATGGCGGTGGAGCGCCTTCCAGCTCTTATGGAGCGCCTGGTGGTAGCCAAAGTGGTGCCCATGGTGGAAGTGGAGCACCTTCAGATACATATGGTGCGCCAAATGGTGGAAGCGGTGGCTTCGGGCTTGGAAACAATGCTGGATCCGGCTCGGGCAGTGGATATGGAAGTGGCACTGCCGAAGATGGATCTTCTGTGAGTAGAAATTCGGGGAATTGACACACCTCTACCTACATATGCCTTAAAAATATCCCAATTTTCTAAGCCAAGCTGCTTTTCTCCCTTCTGGAGCATCGTTGAAAATTCTTTAAAAAAAATAAGAACTGCATTTGACTGGAACATAATTGCAGTTTTCGTTAGATAATGACGTACCTTTTTAAACTGGAAGTAATAAATTACCTTACAGCAAAATATTTCGAAGTAACTCAACTTGATTTTATGTTTTTGTTTCGTGCCATAGCTCAGTCGGTTAGACGCCGGGTTCCTATCACGGTGGATCGGACTTCATAGCAGATCAGCTCATATAGGATTTGTTGTCAAAAGGTGGCTGTGAGGCAGGATTTCACCGAGTTACTCCAGCCAATTTAAATTCCACCAACTGCTCAATATCCGTTAATCATCCAATTATCGATTCTATACAGACCAAATACTGAAATATCGCTGGATATCCAACTTATTTTTTAAATAATAAGAATTAATTAAATGCCGTTGCAGGAACCAGCCCGTTACGAATTCAGCTATGATGTGAATGATGCGGAAACCGGGGCAGAATTCGGTCACCAAGAGACCCGAGACGGGGACAACGCTCAAGGTGCTTACAACGTTCTACTTCCCGATGGTCGTAAGCAGATAGTAGAATACGAAGCCAACCAGGCAGGCTACAAACCAGAAATCCGATACGAAGGTGGTGCTGATGGAGCTGGAGGAAGTGGACATTCCTCTGGAGCTGGTGGTGCTGGAGGTGGTTACCCATCAAGCGGAGCAGGTGGTGCTGCAGGATATCCATCGGGGGGAACTGGTGGTAATGGAGGATATCCTTCAGGAGGATCTGGTGGTGCCGGAAATGGATATCCTTCAGGAGGTCCTGGTGGTCCCGGAAGTGGATATCCTTCAGGAGGTCCTGGAGGTGCCGGCAGTGGATACCCTTCAGGAGGACCTGGTGGAGCCGGCAGTGGATATCCTTCAGGAGGTCCTGGTGGTGCCGGAAGGGGATATTCTTCAGGAGGATCTGGTAGTGCCGGCAGTGGATATCCTTCAGGAGGTCCTGGTGGAGTCGGAGGTGGATACCCTTCTGGAGGACCCGGAAGCTCCGGAAATGGATATTCTTCTGGAGGACACGGTGGGGCTGGTGGCGGGTATCCAAGCGGTGGAAGCGAATCAGGTCATCCCGGATATTAAATCGGTTGTTCAGTTACTTATCAGTATCCCTTAAGTTTGAAACAATGTTCCTTTTCCTGTAGGAGAAGAAAATACATTGTCCCACCTAGAATTCGAAACATCTACAACTAGCATACAAAACGTAGGGAATTCTGTCCATAATGTAAGTACAACGCCGGTAATAGGCCAGAATACAGAGGACTATTGACAAGGCTCATGTATGTTGTTTCTTCTAAGTTCTATATAATTCAATAATTTGAAAAGTACAAACATTTAGTGGAAAGGGTTTTGCACGCGATCAGTGAACGTAGTATAATTCATACGATTGATGGAGTCAAATTATATAATGCCAACACATTATATTATACATTGTTTTAGGATAGTGTGTTTAATGTATCTAATAATTATTCCTTATTATTTTCGTGTACCATGTACTCGAATTGTATTATGTATAGTGTAGCGACTAGGTAACAATATATAACTATGGTGAATTAATTGAGCTGTTATCGCCTTTTTATTGCAATATTTTCTATCTTATATTTTTGTAGAGCTTTGTAGGTATATGCAAGTCACTAGCCGATCCGAAGGCGTGCTGTGACACTTTCCAGCCAATTAAATAAAGCACATGTGATAATAAAACCGTCAATATATTTCTTCTGAATGTATTGTCCCAACATGCATTAAAGCAGAAAGATTAGGGAAATTGATTTGTTAGTAGAAAAAAGTAGCAGTAAATTAAATGTTGAATATTTAGAAAGGAAAATGAATCAAGGAGTCTAATGCTTTGTTCGTCTACACAAAATATGACATAATTATATTCTGTAAAAGTAACCACAGATCATGTAAACGAACAACTGTGAATATTTTAATCGTTTATGAACGTTTCTAGTGAACGGTTCACCTAGTTCCAAAGAAGGAGGTCGCTAACAACTAGTGTTATTTTGTATTACAAAATAATTTTGGAACTTATTTCTTTTCATTTGAGAGCCACGTTCCGAATCAATGACCCCGTTTCATAATCCTATTTCATATTTATAAGCTATAGGATAAAATGTCCTATATCCGTGACAACTTCTAATTCCACGATATATTATTCAGAGTTTTGTAACTCACTTAGAAATAGTGTGTGGAATTTGACTGAATATTCGGTAGAAGGTGCAGGATGTACTCTTTGAAAAGCATATGTTCAATACACTATTATGGAAACAAACGGAAATGCAGAAGAATTTCAAACGACGTTAGTTACTTTCTAACCCCTTCCCCAAATTATTACGCTAAAACCAAAGAAAATTAGTTTACTTTAACGAAAAAGTCAATTTATTTAAGTTATATTTAACCTACAGTGTAAATGGGAAGTCAAATAACAATTCCGATAAGTTGCAGTCTTCTCTAAAGAATGCGACAACAGAACACTGGAAGTAGCTGTTAGGTTATCTCTACAGGAGGACTGGATTTTCCACAGAGTTTCCAATACTAAAAAGCGCCATGAAAACCGTTGTTTAGAGAAGTGAACGTTTCGATGCTCGGTGCAATTCTGAAAGAGTTTACAATTGGGAAAATTTGTATGCCACATCCTTTGTCTTCCGACTTAAAAATTAGACTTGTAGACCATGGGATACGCATGCAATGGCGTGATTTCGGAGTAATGGTAGCTCAGATTCGAAAGCTAACTCTCACACATGGGACCACTGACAGGCTTAACCCAGGGAAATATTCATAAGCGCTGTCTTGCAAATGTCTGGTAGTAGTCTGCTCAACAGGAATGACATTACTCCTGAGGCAACACCATTATCTGCGGTTTCTGACAGAAATCGGAGTAAAATACATAAGAAGACGAACTTATCCTGTACACTGCCAACTGCTAATAACAATTTATGAAAAAGTGGCGAGCAAGTTCTTTTGTGGAACTGTATGATAAATAGAGACAATGGAGAGACTGGCTACCCACCACTTTGAATGCAACTGTTCTGCTTCTACTGAACACTGCCAAATGTACCGACTGGTCCCAATTATTAACAGAACAAATGGTAGGTCCCCTGTGGAGAGTTCTTAGAGCGGTTATATGCGCGATGTGGCCATGCTGATAACATCGTAACTTATAATTGCATTACTGAGGAGTACAACGGCTGTAACATCTCACAACTCTACAGAGATTAAGATATAGCTTACATTGTGACATGTACTTTCACCGTTTATAAGGCATGTGAACTATGCCTCAGTGCTGTCATCCTGCAAACATATATTGCACTTTGTAAAACAAACGCGATTCCTTTGATGTAGTAAATAATTTTTTTTCATTCACAGGTCACATTCCTTTTTATTTAACCATGAACTGCTAACGGAAACTTACCAGATGTTATGATATTGTGAATGAAAAGTGTCTGGTTCGAACTCAAGCCAAATTAGGTAATCTGATTTTCACGATTTCCTTCATATGATCTTAAAGACACTATAGAAAGTAGACAACGCTTGTGAATATATGAAAACAAATTCCGTGATTTTAGTCCGCAAGCGAACTATACCGACCAAGCGACCGCCGCTTGTCGGCGAAGGTTAGTGCCAACTTTTGCGGATGGAGGGTGTCGCGTGGTCAGCGCCACGGATTCCTACGGCCGTTAATGTCGGTTTCCTACACCGGAGAAACTATTTCCTTGAAATAACTCCTCAATTATCATCAGGAGACTGAGTGGACCCCGTTCCAGACCCGCTACTTCTCAGAAAAAATCTGGTAGCCCCGGGAATCGAACCCGGACCTCTGGATCTGTAACCAGGTTCGCTGACCACTAGACCACAGAGGCGGTCTCAAAGTAAAGGTATCCCTGTAACAGGCTGCGGAGACCCACAGGGTGGTGAGATGTCGAGGTTCCTACATTTTGTAGACAATCGGCTCATAGATGGCGGCAAGGTTGTCAACTCTACGCGCCGGTCGCCCTTTACCCCCAAGAACATTCCTGGTACTGATTTCTGTTAGAGGCTGAGTCGACCTCAGGGTCATAGTGCGGCTGGAAGGAATAGATCAGTTGAAAAATTCAGTGTCCTCGTCATGAATCGAACCCACGACCATCAAGCTTGTAGCATAGTGCCTCAACCCACTACGCTAAAGTGTGCCCCATGGTTAGATATAGTGATATTAAAATCTATACTTCCTAACGCTAGAGAATACTAGGCCAAGTAACCGAAAATCGTGACTTCTCACTTTTATTAAAACATTTAGAAACTACATGCCAGGACGAATTACTGGATGCATCTCGCCTCCATCTTCAGGGTTGATAGTAAGCCAAGCAACAAACCAGTATGAGAGCAGGTGGCAAGCAGAGTTCTTGCTTGACTTATTTTTCGACGCTGAAGAGGGAAATGATATGTTTCTCCGAAACATCGGTGACTTTCAACGGACTACGTGCCGTTATATCCCAGAAGAGAGAATCCTTCGTGTTACACTTTTTTTAGAAGCACATAGTTCAGTTTCAGAATGAGCCCAACTGCTGAAACTGCAGACGTAACGAGCTCCCTTGCGTAGAGCGCTTCGTGCTCTTCTGGGGGACGGTAATGACGCATTCACTAATGCTAGGTTGTACTCGTGACTGAGGGAGGACGCGAGCCTGACAGCTTTACATGTTCATGTAAGCAGGTTAGATTGTGGCCAGTCAGCTACTTGAACCTGTACGGGTTGAACCGGACGCGAGACCCTGACTAACTGCTCAAATCCCAAACAAGGCCGGTCATTATAACGCAGGTGCCTTTCCATGATTTATTCCAACTTTACTGAAGGTTAGGGAACATAATTGTACTATTGTGATTAAGGTACAGAATTATCTCAGGTGAAATTAATTCAGTTTATCATTGTCATATTTATATTTTTTATTTCAATTAGGTCCAAGTTTAGCTTACGTTTTGTTAAAGTGGGTCCCTTGACATCTTGACAGGTTGCGGGGCCTCCATTTATGGAGATCAACTGTGAATATAATGAATAAGTAATATCCAAGCTGAGAATGAGTGTTCCTCTGCTTAAGGGACTAGAGCAAGAGCTAACAGCTCCTCATAATATATAGTAGTTTGTTATTTAAAGTTACGTAATACCTCGGACTTGGACGATCCGCCTGGCTGAGAATAAAGATTGACGGCGGGCTCTTGTGAGCGCAGTGAAGAATCTATGAATTACATAAAAAGTCGGGGAATTTCTTGACTGATTACTGGATTCTCAAAAAATGACTCTGCTGCACATAATTAGTTACTTTATACAGGTATAACAAGAAGATCTGTGAAGAACTAATCGCCTACTTTCCTTTGATATGACACGGACTGCATAGGAAACTACGCCTACAATTATTCTTTGACACGGGGAAAGTTTTTACAGAGTTGTAACCTAGCAACGATAAGGAGATACAAAGACAGACCCACAGATATACGGGTCCAACAATTCTTCTATTGTTGGGTGTATGCATTTCCGCGGGAACGTGATTGCCGAAACGTTGTCTAGCAGTGAAAGGAGCGATACACTTCACCGAGCCGTTGCCTGGCAACAAGAGGAGGGTTATAAATTCAGACACGCAGACTGGTGAGAGGAATTTATGAAGTACGCCTCTGGGTTGGGCTCAGGTGTCATGATGTATACACGTATGGAGTTTCATAAAGTTTGGTTCCGTCATTCAGAAGTAAATAAGGGGGATTCACAGGCACAAATACTAACAGACAAACAGATAGCATGGAAATAACATAAGCCTACGTGTCGTATTTTTATTTTTTCATAATAAGGAAATTAGATTGAAACTATAAATAACAAAACGACCCGGTGCAATGATTAATAATTTTGCTTCGCATTCGGTAGGTCCTGCTTTCGGGTCTCTATCTGGTAACAATATATCCAGACCGAGATTTTCGTGGTTTTCCTCGTCTCCAGAAGAAGTCTGAGATATTACTTTAAAAGAGGCCACGGCTGCTTTCGAGCGCATACTTCCCGCTTCAGGGTTCAGTCATCGCCCTCGGTCGCTGTTGTATAA